TCTGAAGAGTAACTGGAGCCTGAGCAGCAAGGTGTCTCAGAGATGTTGGGCTACTTCATACTAACGAGGACTGCAAGTGCAGCAGCATCCGACATCAGTACAGAGCTGTGGAGTTTCGTGAATTGTTTCTACTTCTAACTTTAGGAAACTGATGTTTTCCACAAGCCATCTTAATAGTGCCACTTCAATCACATGTCAGCTAAAAGGGACAACTGGCACAACTCCAACTAACCCCTCCTGAAGCCTAGACAGTGAAGTGGTGACACTGGAAGACTCTAAAACTGGAGCTCCTTCTGGATCTACCACAGGGTATCCGCACTGTTCTTCAAACGTGCCTCTTCCTCAGGAGTCAGAGTCACCTTCACAACATCAGAGATCCCATTCTTTGCCAGGACACAAGGGACACTAAGGAAGACATTATCCTTGATTCCATAGGGCCCCTTAATCATGGCAGAAATTGGATGCACCCTCTTAAGGTTCTTCATTATACTTTCTGCCAAACCTGCCACTGACAGTCCAATGGCCCAGGATGTGTAGCCTTTTAGTTTGATTACTTCATAAGCACTGTCAACCACCTGTTTGTGAACCTCTTTCCAATGCCCCTTATCCCCATCAGTTTCCAACTCAGGGTGCAGATTCTTCAGGGTGACACCAGGAACATTCACGCCACTCCACACAGGAACGCTGGAGTGTCTGTGCTCCCAGAGGATCCAGCTGTGGCAGCTCAGTGGATGCACGCCCAGCCTTTCCCCCATCAGGTAGCAGAACCAGGCTGAATCCAGGTTGCAACCACTGCCGATAACAAGGTTCTTGGGAAAGCCACTTAACTTCCAAGACACATAGGTCAAGATATCCACTGGGTTGGATACAATAAGCAACTTGCAGTTGGGACGGTACTTCACAACATTAGGAATGATGAACTTGAAGATGTTCACATTACTCTGCCCCTAATTAGGCAGCTCTCTCCCTCTTGCTGACGTGCTCCAACGATGATAATAACCAGCTTGGAGTTGGCGGTTACATTAGAGTCTTTACCAGAGACAATTTTTTGGTGTCCTGAGGAAAAGGCTGCCCTGTTGGAGATCCATCGTCTCTCCCTTCAATTTGTCTTCCATGACGTCAACAAGAGCAAGTTCATCTGCCAAGTCCTTCATTAAGATACTGATGGCACAGGCCATGGCAACAGCACCAGCCCTGACAACTGTGATCTTATTCTGGGGCACCTGTTGCTCCTTAAGGAGATTCACAATCAGCTGATCTTTGAGACTGGCCAACTTGGACTTAGAACCACAAGGAACCAGGAATGCACGTGGGGTGGGCATCGGGGTGCATGCTTCTCAGATCCGGATTCTCGGCAGCAGCTCCGACACCTATCCCTGCACGAATCCTACTTGATAATGATGTATAATCTTCTGGATGATTTGCTGCATGAAGTTTGGCATTATTTTATTGGGTAATTTTACATCTGCATTAATTGGGGGGTTGGTCTAAAGTCCTATTTTTTATTTGGGTCTTTCTCCGGTTGCAGTATCAGGGTAATACTTTCCTCTAAAACTGAGTTATGGATAGTTGCTTCCCATTTCATCTCACTGAAGAGACTGAGATGTATTGACATTAAATCTCTAAATTTCTTGTAGAATTCAGATTAGAATCCATCATGACATGGGGGTTTCTTTATTAGTAAGTTCTTAATTACATTTTCAATTTCATTGACTGATATTGGGTTATTGATATTCTTCTGAATTTCCATAGGATCTGTAGTGACTTCACAGTTTTCCATACTTATTGCATATATTTTTTCTTTCCTTTTATTGACAAGATTGGTTGAATAATTTTAAATAAATAAATGTCTGTATTCTTTCAAAGAACCAATTTTTCAATTCATAAATTCTTTGTATCATTTTCTTCATCTCAATTACATTAATTTTTCCTCTGCTCTTTTAATTTCTTTTTTTATTTGGGCTTTGGACTTGACCTGATCTTCTTTTTCTAGAAGTTTGAGGTGCATAATTAGGTTATTTATGTGTTCTCATTCTCTTTTCATGCAGTGAGAATTCATTACTGTAATTTTCCCTTTGAGGGTTCATTTCATTGCATCATACAGATTCCAAAAAGTTGTATATTGTTATTTGTTTGATTGTAGATATTGTTTAATTTCTTCTTTAATTTCATCTGTGACCCATTGAGGGTGGTTTTTGTTTTCCACATGTTTACAAAGCTTTTTCAGTTTCCTTTGTCATTAATTTCCAGATTCATTGTACTATGATCAGTTAATTTCTATGGGGCATTTTCAGTTTCTTTACATAATTAAGCATGCTCTACAGGCTAGAATGAGATACATTTTAAAGAAAAATCCATGTGAAACTGAGAAGAATGTGTATTATAATGTTTTGAGGTAGAACTTTGTCAACAACTGCACAGTCCATTTGTTCGCAAGTTTGTTTCAGTTATTTCTTAAATGATTTTTTGTATAGTTGAACTATCACTTTGTGACAAAAGGGTGTGAACATCTCCCTTACAATTGTGTTATTGATTATTTGATTTTTCATGTCAATTTATGTTTGTGCTATACAATGCACACCCATATTTGGTTCATATATATTTATGACTTTCATCTTTTCCTCTTGATATTTTGCCCTAACAAGTACACAGTGACTTTCTTTATCTCTTTTCACCATTATTGGTTTTAAGTTCACATCGTCTGTGAGCAGAATAGCTGCCCCTACTTTCTTCTTTGTTCCTGTCAGATAGAATATTGTTTAAGATACTTTGCTTTTCAGTCTATGAATTTCATTTTTGAGGAAAAAATAGTAGGGTCTCACCACAGTTTGTACTCATACTGATCCTCCTGTCTCAACTTCCCTAATGCTGGAGTTATGGCAGGTGCTACCACACCCAGGGCCATCACTACATGCGGTACCTGGGACTGTACTCACAACCTTGTACTTGCCAGGAAAGCACTTGTAATTCCAAGCTATCTCCCCAGCCCTGGAGCTGTTTCCTTACTTCAGTTGATTTCATCTCAAACTTTTCAGGTGTATGACTTCCAATTTGTTTTATGTTGATAGCTCCTTGACTTGTTCTCTGTGGTCTGGAAGTCTGAGATTGCCTTTTCCTCCTTCATCTTGACATTTTCTATTTCAAAAAGTAATTTTTATTTCTGATGATCCTCTTGGGTTTTGGTAGTAGATAGCTATATCTATAGTATCAAAGTCTATAGGAAAAGTCTATTCAAGGATATCTTCTGTGCATCAGAGATTTTTGGTTTGTTTCTTCCCTAAGACCCTGCTGTCCCGAATCAGCGGGTCAGTCAACGAAGGTCACCTGGGGGAGGAGCAGGGAATTGAAGAGGGGATAAAGGACAGGAGACAGGAGAAATGGAGACAAGACAGGATTCTGATCAAGTCTCATTTATTTAGGGGAGGTACTGGGTATATATAGTGGAGGCATAGGGAAATGATGCCGGAGGGTAAAAGGCGCGAGTTACTAGGCAACCGGACCATAACAGGAAGTTCCCCTGCTATACTCTGGAGTATACCAGGAGACTTATGGGAAATAGGCGGGGTGAGAAGGACCATAAACTTAACTCAGCAGGGAAATAGAATGGATACCGGTTAATGGCCTCCCATACCCTGCTTTTCCTGCTAATTGAGAATGGGATGTTGGTTTCTGCCTGGTTTTTTCCACTTTAATTATAGGGCTCTGGTGAGATCATTACCCCAGAGTTTCCTAGTATTGTTTATGAAAGCTTAAGCATGTGATTACAACAAAAATATCATCATAGCGACAGTAGTACAATGAGCAATGATTACTGCATGAAACAAAATTTAGAAAATGGAAACCTTTGGTAACTATTGATTTTATACTTTAGTTCATAGGGGCAAAGTCTATAGTTGTATGACAGAACCAATCATAATTAAGAGTTTGTATGCAAAGTGTTTCCCCTTGGTGAAGTGCATTTACCCTAGTTTCCTAGTTTGGGGCACTTATGCCAGGTAGGGGTATGGGCCAGGCACCGAGGTTACTCTAATCAAGCTGGTTGCTGAGTCCTGGCTCCTTTCTTTACTAGATGCCCTTCCTGTGGTATAGGGACATGGGTCAAGCACCAGGTTCCTCTTGTTTGAGCCAGTTGCTGAGCCCTGGTTACTGCTCTGTTTTAGAGGACTGGGTTAGGCACTTGGGTTCTTCTGGCCAAGATTTTGGCCAAAAAAACTAAAACTCTTACAGATCAAAAGAGAACATAATAAGGTTTCTGGATTCATATATGTATGGTTTGTTGAACTGCATATGAATAATTAATTAAAACAATAAACTAATTGAAATAATAATTAAAGATAATGACCTATAGTGGTAAATTTGATCCCATGTGTCATACGTCTAATTGTACCCAACAAAAGAGTTTTTGAAAGCTAAAAAATACTTCTCTAAAGAAAATCCAAAGATGAGAATCCATAGATAGCAACATTCAGTATTGTAAATATACTGTCTAATTAAAATTTAGCTCTTCTGTAATTAATATCCTAATATTTAACTAACTTGCTTATATGAAAGAGACCAGAGACGAGAATAATTACAAAATTATGAAACGAAACAAAGTGTGAAGACCTGAATTAAGATAGATTTAAAGTTATAATTATTAAGAGAGTAATTATCCATGTATAGAGTAGAAATTCCAGACACAAGATCATGACTATACAGAATGTTAATGAATTCATAAACACTCACGATATATTGAAACTCTAATAGCTGAGTCTGGAAACCAATTTTAGTAGGACGAAACATGTTTGTTTGTTGGTTAGTTTGTTTAGCAATGCACTGCTTAGGGAATTTTTATACTGATTCTGTAAAATTGGTTGCCTTTGTCATTAGAACTTGTAACAGCTTGCAGCAAATCATGCACGCATACTCACACTCATTTTCCACTCAGAGGAATTTCTGAGACAGCTCAACAACAAATTTCTTTAGAGGCAGGATCACTGGACCTTAGAACCCTTTTCATTACCAAAGCTTTTCTTTACACTTTCATTTCTGATGTGGTGTGATAGTTTGAGGTATTGTCTTGTAGTCAACATAAAAATCTTTAGAAAGCCTCCTAAAAAAGACACCATTTAAAAAAATAAACCTGTGACCTCATTGTAATCTTGAAGATAAAAGATGAAATAACTTTCTTCTGTTGTCAATCTGTTACAACATGGGGAAATCAGGAATAAATTTTAAGTAAAGTATTCAATGCTTAATGAAAGATGTCTATTTTCTGTTCCCTGTGTAGCATTACCTATCTACCCCATATGATAAATATCAAATTTCCAAATTTGAAATGATAAATCTGATAACATTTTAAATATATGTGCTCACCTATTTAATCAGAAAAATACTGAAATTTAATTTCAAATTTGCACATCTTTTCATACTATATTTTCACTCCAAAAGAAATTTTACAAAGGAAGGGTGTTCTTTCCGAGGGTGAACTCAAACTTTCAAAATACTGAGGTTTAACATAGGATGAAAAGTTAGTTTTTTTCCTGCCAGTTAGGTCTGTTCCATCAGGAGGCAATTATGACACCTAAATGCCTATTAAGCTAGAAAAATCTTGACAATAAATATTAAAGACATTTTATTTCTTGTCATCTTATCATTTAAGAATCAGAACAAATTTGTAAATATACCTGAAAAATACCCCTTGTACTGAAATATATCCTGCCGTCTTACATTTGGCACTGAAAGCCAGAGCAAAAGTTTTAAAAGCTAATTTACTTACTCATTGCTGAAGCAGAGAAGCGGTCTTAGAAGTTATGATAAGAAAAGGGTAATTTCATTACCTACTTTTTTTTTTTTTTTTCGGAATCGGGGATTGAACTCTGGCCCTTGTGCTTGCCAGGGAAGCACTTATTCCACTGAGCCATCTCTAAAACTGTCCTACCAATTTGATTTGAAACTGCCTCATTGCTATTTGTTTATCAATAAAATTATGGAAAAAATGAAATAAAAAGATTTTAAAATAAAAAAAAGAAAAGGGTAATTTCTTTTGACATGAAAAACTTCTCAGTAAGAGCAGGTCCCAGTTGTTAATTCTTTCAACTGTTTCCCATGTGATTTGATTTTTGTTCATGAACTATGCCTACCCCAACGTCTTCAAGAGTTCCTCCTACTTTCTCTTCCAGGAGATTTAGTGTCTCTA